TTTCCTCCTCCTCCTCCTCCTCCTCCTCTTCCTCCTCCTCCTCCTCCTCCTCCTCCTCCTCCTCCTCCTCCTCCTCCTCCTCCTCCTCCTCCTCCTCCTCCTCCTCCTCCTCCTCCTCCTCGCTGCTACTGCTGTTGTCGCTCTTGCTTCTTCTCCCTTCGGAGGGAGGGCCGCCGGTCTTCGCGTCGCCGGTCGGCGGAACCAAAGCCCCGTCCTGGTGGACAAAGGGGGAAAGCCGAGAGAGAGAGAGAAAGGGAGGAAACGAAAGCGCTCAAAAACGTGTTTTTTTTCACAAACAAGCGTGCGCTAAAAAAAGTGCACCATCGTTCATATAGAGAGGGGGCAATTTTGCCGTTGGTTGTCGAGAGACCAACCACGAAAAGCGCTCAATTTAGAAGAAAGTACACATGTACCGCCAAAAACCAAAAACAAGCAAAAACAAAAAAAACAACTCATAGTATAAATCTCTCAAGTATGTACTGCCAAACAACAAAAAAACAAAAAATCAATTAAAATTATACATCTCTCTGAATTGAGTTTGAGTGAGTTGGATGCAGCAATCTCGAACCGCAAGTCGTCTACCCGACCCGCACTCGGGGGAGGACAACACCCGGGTGCAAACGCCAAGGCAAAGCCGCTACGGGAACAAGGCAACCCCGCTCGCTACTCGCTACTCCCACCCCACCCCACCTCCTCCTCCTTGATGCGAACGCCTGCCTGTGCTTGCCCTTCTTCCTCTTCCTCGTCCTCTTCCTCTTCCTCCTCCTCACGCAAAGCAATCTTCGTCAGGGCGTCCACGGCCACAGCAAGGCCGCCGGACTTAACGCCGCCGCTGATGCACGCTGCGAGCAGCAGGTGCGCCCATTCTCGCGGGACGACAGCCGCCGCTGCTGCCGCCTCCTGGTCATCACTACCTTCCCTCGCTTCTTTCCCACCCGGAACCTTGCCTCCCGTTTCCCCATGTCCGTTGCCGCTCCCTCCTGCCCCTTTCTTCCTCATGGCGGCTGTAGCAGTCGAGGGAAGAGGAACCCCCGGCAGCGCCAAGAAGATCAGGCGAACCAGGCCTCGAATCTTTTCGCGTCGAGGTGGGAGATCATTTCCGGTCGCGGCGTAATGTTGGCCGCGCGAAGACAAGGCAGAAGCGAAGCAAGAGAAAACGATCAGCATCGAGCAAAGCTACTTACTACACGCGCATTTGCACGAGTCGCATGACTAATTCGTGTACAAGGATACAAGAGAACGTAGGGACAAAGAGACAAAACCTTGTACGCATCCCATCAACCTTCCCCTGCGTGCTCTCCCTTCCGGATTAACGGCGAAGGGTTAGGGCCAGGACTATTGTATCGGACGTGAGATGCTCACAAGGCGTCCAATTTCGAGTCTCCCGTGAGATACATCGCCCTTTCCTTTGTCAAACACCTCCCTGCATGTGCCCCCAAAACACATTCGACAACGTCAAATCAAACCACACATCCGAACCACGCCTTGCCTGCCCCACACCCACCTCCAACGAAGAAAACGCCGTCCAGAGGCTAGCAGAACCTGGCGACCACTTGTTCCCGCCTGCGAGCCCCCCACCCCCTCCCGCGAGGCTGCTGCCGAGTCCGGCCCGCGGGGACCCCTCCGCGTCCCGCTGGTGGTAGTACGGCCGCGCCCACGCCTCCAAGCTGTCTGCGCCGCCCACCTCCCCGACTTGCGGAGCTCTGATAGCAACTCTGGGGTCACTTTGACAGCGAGGCATGGAGGGAGGGGGGAGGTACCCGATAATTATCAGGGGAAGGGATTTACATGCTCCACTTTTTTCGGGGTTAGGTGGTGGTTTGAGTCTCCGCGACAATCGGGTCGTCGACAAGGATCACCACCTTGTCTGTGTGCTTATTTTCTTGAAAAATGTGTATCGCACCACAATTAAAAAATAATGAAACACAGCAGAACGGCTTGGCGAATGATGTGGTGTGATGACAATACCACACGGCAAAGGGTGGTGCCGCAGCTGCATGAAAACGAACACACGCCGCACAATTTTCACTGTGGAACACCAAAAAATACCAAAACTACACAAAGTGTCCGTCCGTCCGTCTGAATCTTGCCACAGACAACAGCCGAGAACAGCAGTAGGTGACGTGACATATCATACTCCCCGGACCGATATTCAAACCTTAACTACTATTCAACGGCAGCAACAGTGGCGGCGCTGAGAATGGTGGCGTTCGAAACGTCTCGTCGATAATTTGGCCGACAGCGCCTTGTTTGATGCATTATTCATCCTTTCTCTTCGTTGTGGAGTAATCGAGCTTGCTTTGAAAATGGGTCCAGGGATGCGGGGCGGGGCGGGTGATGTCTCTTACATCATGTCGCCTACGGCAGCAACCCATGCCTCACCTCGCGAGCCGGCACAGCCCCCTCAGCACAACCGCCGCGGTCGGAGCTACAAGCAGATCCTCCCCCTCCTCGTCCGCACCCCACGAACCCCACCGCAGGAGACCACCACCACTGCCGCCGTCACCGTCATCGCTAACGGGCTCGTCGTTACCAGCGGATCTCAACGCCAGGTGCAAGCACCGCTCGGCGGTGGCGGGGGTGCACGTGCCGATGGCGGCGTCGAGGAGCAGGGTGTGCCAGTAGGACGAGCAGGCGTCGCGGTATCCCTCTCCCGGAGCAGCGGAGGATGAGGATGAGGGGAACAGGACCGGCAACAGAATCCCTTCCAGCAACGCCTCATCGTCAGGATCGGACAGCAAGAAATCGACGATCGCCTATTTTGGCAAGAAAAAGGGCGAAAGAGCGAGCGAGCGAGCAGCGATGCGGACGGCCGGCATGCCGAGCACGAAGAAGCGACAGGGTTAAGTATGCAAACGACAACCCAAAAAGCAAAAAACAATGACAGAGGAAGTACGTCTACAAGGGCAAACAAGAGCAAAAAAAAAATGAGGGCGTACAACACAAAAAAAAAAAAGGTTCCCGCGGCCCAAAAAATCGGCGCTCGCACGTGCTGGTGTACGTCAAACCCTCTCGATACAAAACAACGGCGCCGAGGAGGCACGCCCAACAAGAAGACTAACCCTGATAACAGTCGATGGGGACGATTGCATACGTAAGCGCGAAGTAACAGGCGAGCCCAGCACCTACCCCCACCGCTCCCACCGCACGCGCGACCTTCAAATTATTGCGTGGGAAGATCTCCTCGTACCTGCTGAGCGCGGTGCGGAGTGTACGCGGCGTGCGATACGGTAGACTTGGCGCTCTCCTTCACGCCCCTGCTGCTGCTGCTAGCCTTTGCTTTTGCCGAAGGCTTCTGTTCGGATTCGCGGGCTGTCGCGTGAGACACCGTTGTTGTTGTTGTTGTTGTTGTTGTTGTTGTTGTCGCTGCCGATAGGCCGGGGGGGCAGCTGCTGCGGAGGAGCGCTTCCAGCGCCGCGGCCTTTTTTTTCGTTTGTTGGACGTGCGGGATTTGTCACGAACGAACACACGGGGGCCGTACGGCAGCCAAACAAAACGGGATGGGGCGCGGGGTGGAGGTAGATTAAGCCAGACTCGGGGTGCATGTAGCAGGACTTCGTTTACAGTATGTCCACGTCACGTGCTGCGACTGGTGTGGTGCAAGCTACCATGACAGGACCTGGCACTTCTACTCGTAAATGTGCACTTGCATGATTTCCCCGTAAGAATACCCACAACGGCATGCACTACACGAGAAGCGACACAAAGGGCATACCACCCCGGTGAGGCGCCACGCAGGAAGTCAAACCAACCCCACGACGCCTACACACACGGGCCACGACACCGGAGCACTCGGCTCGGTGTTTTCAAGGTTGATGGTGCCCCGTATTGCCCTTTTGCCGTAGCTTTTGCCTAACTCAAGCACGTTCTGCCACACTACAAAAGCACGAGCCATGAAGTCCGCCAAGCACACAAAGCAACCCCTCACCCCTTTCTGGAAGCAACTTGCTCAAATCATATCGAGAAGGTGGTCCGTTCTTGGTGCCGCGATATCTCCAGTAGAGAAGGACTTACGATCACGCCAAACCCAAAACAAACAAAGCGTGCTCAATACACGGACGAGGCAGCCAAGCGCGTGCACACACGCACACACGCAAGCGTTTTCCGACCATCGCCGCATTGATTGAGACTGGCGTCATTTCATTGGTCAGTCGGTTTGCGCAGTCAATGCCAACAGTAACACACACCTTCGCTCGGCGAAACACGTCTTCCACTCTGGAGACCGTTTCCGCCGCCTCCGCGCACCTCGCCGCCAACAGCCCCCTGCCGCCGGCCACCGCCTTTTTTTTTTTCGCCGTCGCCGCCTTCTCCTCCTCCCCCTTTACGGTCGCCGACGGCACCGGCTTTGCGGGGTCACCGGGCTCCGGCCCTGGCCCACTCTCGAACCCGCCGTTGCCGCTACCGTTGGAAGAGAGGCGGGGGGAAAACGGCAGCCGCTGCCGCCGCCGCCGCCGCTGGGGAAGGGGGGGAGGTGCGACCGAAAGTAGAAACGCATTCTCACCCTCGCAGAGCGCCGCCGACCGCTTTCCCCCCCCAGCTGTGGTCGAAGAAAAACGAACAGAGAGAGAGAGAGACGTCCCGTACACGGTGGGGGGGGGGGGGGTACTCATAGTCGTGCATGCCGTAGTCGTTAGACCATTGACCTCGCACGGTGGGAGGGGGAAACAACGGTGGATTGAGAGGCCGCTTCAGGGGAGGGTTGGTTTGTTCTTGGAGGTCAAAGGGGTGGTGGGGAGAGGAACCTACGAGGAGGAGACCCCCCCCCCCCCCCCCCCCCCCTGGACCGAGTTTCAAAGCTCGACTGCTCCACAGCCAATGGGGGCGCGCAAAGAGCCCGACACATCGACGGAAAGCCTTCAACGAGATGCCTCCCAAGACCACCCTTTCTGGTGTTGGCACAAAGCTTGGCGGTGGAGAAAACGATCTTTGAAAGTCGGTTTAGGGGGAGTGCCATCTCTCCGTCTCTTGTTGTAGTTCTTGTGGTGGTAGGTTCGCAAGCAGGCTGTGGAGGAACCGCAACACATCGATGCAGATTGAGCGATTCACGTGATTGCTGAGCACACACAGAACTCAGGTCGGCTTTATTTACCTCTTTTGCGGAGGTCCGGTCCAACAAATCTTGTCAAAAATGACGACCGATGAAGGGGTGAACGGGGGGCAAGACATACCCCTCGACACACGACACGAGTATTCAAAACGGCTGCCCGGCTCTCTCTCTCTTTCTCCCCCCGGAAACACGGCAGTCCCGCAACGAAAACGAGACAAGTAACTGACCAACCTTTCGATGGCCCTAAACGTGTGGTTCACCACCGCCGTTGTCGTCGCTGCCGCCGCATCCGTTTCCTCACGGCCGCCGCCGCCGCCGCCGCCACCGCCACCGCCACCTGCCGCCTCCCCAGATAACGCCTCTACTAGACTCGACCGCAGCCACGCCATCCCCTCCTCCTCCTCCTCCTTCGGACGAAGCCACCCATCGTCGTTCCCAACCTTTGCCTCGACCTCATCCTTGTTGTTACCGCTGCCGCTGTCGCCGGTCTTCGGACCCGTCCCGGTTACCGAATCGTTCTTGTTGCCGTCATCAGCGGCGGACGAAGCTGCTTCTTCGCGGTCAAGGAACTCGAAGACTCGACGACGAATCTAGTCGACATGGGAGGAGGAACGAGGGACAGCAGGGGGGGCGACGTGGTGGTGGTATTGGGTATTGGGGGGGGGGGGGGGGGGTGAAAAAAAGAACCGGGGGAAAAAAAAAAAAAGGGAAGGTCCCCACAAAAAAATTTCTTTG